CCTTCCAACCCCTTCCGTTCTGTGATTCTGTGACAACAGCAGAATGTGGAAGGTTTTTCACCCTTCACCTTGCAATTCTTAGTTCCCTCTTCTGGTTGGGAACTGCTCAGATAATCTGCTTTATTCTTTAGTTTTCACTATATGAAAATTGATTCTGTCTTTCGCTGTGATGCGTTAAGTAAAACCTTAATTGCTTTCCGAGGCCTAGAAAAATCTCACATGAATGATGTTAGGTTTTTTTGAGGCGAGAGAAGACAGTGAGACTTCAGCAGCCCTGTTTGCTTTTGATTTCATTGTACGTGATCTTTCCTAACTATCCTCTGAAAATACAGTTATGTTTCATGGCACAGTAGGAATTCAGCATTCTCCGTTCTGTAGGCAGGACATAACAATAGCATGTAACAGTAAATAAAGGTATAGTTAGAACAAGAAGTGAACGACACCATTCCCGATTCCTGCAGCTGTTTAGCAAAACAGCCCTGCGCAGTCATTAGTCTGTGTTCCTGAGAGTCTTTATATGCAAAACAGGGGTAATGATAACACTTACTTGCCTGGTTGACATTTCTTGAGGCCAGTTTATAAGTCGTAATAATAAATGTTTGGGGAGTCACTACAGTTATGTTAGGATGTGTTGTTTTTTGCAGGACATACCTGGAGGAAGAGCTGACTAAGGCCCGTGAGAAACCAAAGCTGCGTAAGGACATGTACAAGAAAATGATTGAAGTGGATCCTCTTGCTCCCACAGCTGAAGAGAATGCCCAGCATGCTGTTACCAAACCCCGATACATGCAGTGGAGGGAAACCATCAGCTCTAGTGCAAACCTGGGCTTCAGGATTGAAGGGATTAAGGTAATAGTTTCACTTCTGTCTGTTCTTGGAGACCAAACTTTGTTCGAGTTGTTGATTAAGCAAAAAGCTAGTTTGCATCAGTAGCTGTGTTTTCCAGAGGATTATGTGAAAATGCACTAATTGAAACCACGGAGTTCAGTCTATTGTGGTTTTAAAGCATCCATTTTAATTATAACAGAGTAGTGTCAATGAAGTTAAGCATCAAATGCACATCAGCCATACTTGGTTCAACCACAGAGACACTGCAGGGGGGACTCAGGCAGGTACATGATGTAGATAGAATGAAAATGAGACTGTTGTAAGGGATAATTCAGAACTGAAGAAATAACCACCTCTCCCCATGCAATTACTTTTTTTATACAGGAACTGTACATATTTATCCCAAGTGAATCACAGTAAAGTGTTTTTGTTCCAGTGTGTTTATTTGCAAGGCATGTTAAAAGCATTAGCTTAGATATTTTGGGGATCAAGGAAATCCCTTTTCCTTTTAAGTACATGACAGTATCTGGTATAGATGGAGCTGGAATAAAGCCAAAACAACAAAATAAAATTTCTCCATCAACAAAGTCCATCTGCTGTTCTTGATGGGTAAGTTTGTGACCCTATGCCGTTCCTAGGATACTACCTTACAGCCACAGAAGAACCTTGGCAATGTTCCTTCCTCCCTGTTAATTCTTTGTATTTGTTGTGTCTGGTGGCAATGTCAGATACCTGCCCAGAAGCCTGTTAGGACCTACTCTCAGACTATCAGCTGCCTGACTCAGTTACTTGAATGTTAACACCTGTTGGAATCCAGAAGTGTGCTTTCTGCTTGCATAGGCCTGTCACAGCTAGCCTTAAACTAGTTTGCTTGAGTTTAGATGATGGTGTACCTGTGGCAGCACAGAGCATGGTGAGGGCTGCCCAAACCCACCCACAGCCTGGTTGAGTACTTGTTACCTGAAGCCCATGACGGGACAGCTATGAAGAAGTTAGCATGGGTTTCCTTGTGTGATTTCAGGATGTTCCCAGAGGATATACATTTAATGTAGGTATGTTAGAACATTGTAAATTATAATCTGGATTAGTTTTCCTTCTATTTCGTAGTTCAAGCACGTAAGAAGAAGAATAGGATAAAAGAGGGTGATGCTGACAAGCAAAGGCTTTTAAACACCCCTTTCTTCTCTGCTTCCCTGTGTTGTCTTCTTTCCTCACTCACAGATTCTCCTGCTGTGATACAAGAACTAGGGCTTCCAGCTCATGCTGTGCTGGCCCCCTGTATGCTGTGCCACCCACTCCTGGCTGTTAGACACAGGCATCCTCATGCAGGAACTGTCTGGGTGGGAGATGATCTGGCTCCAGTCCAGCGAAGACAGTTCCTGTCTCACCCTTTAGCCATCTAATGATGTTATCAAGATACCTGTTTTATTCCTGTACCATTTAAGTCTTCAGATGCTCTGTGTAATGAAATCGTAAACCCAGATGATCTTGAGACTTTGTACATATGTTCTTGGAAAGACAGTTGGTCAGTGTAGAAGATGTCAGTGTAGAAGATGTACAGATTTATGTTGAGCCCTGGAGACTGACTCCTGTGCTAAGGGAGCACAGGGGAGCTCCAGTAAAACCTCCTGGCTTGTTCTTTGTGGTTTGGTTGGTTATCAGAGGTGGGCAGGAGCAGTATGTCACATAAACTGCGTGATATTTCCTTCTGTTGAGACAATGCTGTAACTGTGCAAAACAAGACACAAATACTTAATCCTTGATTAAGCACAGGAAATGATCTGGAGCACTGCTGTGCATTACGTTTTCCTCTGTCTCTCTGTGCTGTTATGAGGGATGTAGGTATTTTTTTTACATGGAGAAACGGTGACAAAGTGAGTTGTTCAGGCAATACAGCTAGTCAGTACTGCCTTCACTGTTTCACTGTAGCTGAACTAACTGTACATCCAGTTCTGTGTATTTGCAGAAAAGCAAAGCCATGCTGTGGAGATCCCCGTTTTGAGAGGAGAGCCTGTAAGGATCAGTAGTGCCAGCTAGTGGTTGATCGAAAAAGTGAGTTGTTCTCCGTGAATGCACTGATAACTCCTGGAGTTATCTGAGCAGCTGTGTTGGGTTTGGTCATTCAGAAATGTTCCTGCCCTGTGGCTGCTGGAGTAAGAAGCAGAAGCAAAGAAAGTGAAATCATAGAAGCCCTCTGTGAAGTGGCTGCTGATTAAATGAGATCTGATCTGTCATATCTACTCCTTTATCACTGAGATACCTTTTCTCTTTAGGTTGATCCATCTCTTCCTTGCCTTGCTTCCATAGCTCTGAAATCAAGTCAGGTTCATTAATGGGATTTGCTCCCCTTTCTCTTATCAAAAATAGTTTGAACCATTGGATTTCCTTACAGCTGGCACCTGACACTCAGTCTCTTGTGCCTCCCAGATACAGAATGCAGGTTTCCTCTCTGAAAGGGGCTGTCTGAAGGCTAGGCATCACAAACGTTGTCTCTACAACACTAAGCTAATAGTTTTGCAGAGCTGAGATGCATGGGGCTGAGAATCAGGAGTTCTGGCTTCCCATTCTGTCACTGAATCTCTGTGTAGTTTGGGAAGTCACTCCTTCCTTTGGTACCATTCTTTTGGCTATAGATCAGGGGTAGCCATTTTCCCAGGAGGACATCAGATCTGAGTCATAAATCTCTGTAAATCCATTTAGGACATGACCTTAATCCAGAGCCCTTTAAGGGAAGTCTGCAGAGGAATCTGAGCAAGACCACACAGGTTAAGACAGGTAGCACTATTTTATGGAGCTGCCAAACCTGCCCTCCTGCTAGCCACGTCACTGTCACATCTAATGAGAAGTGCTGGAAGTGGCCCACTAGCAGCACTGCGCAACAGACTGCTCTGCTATGCAGGAACGTATGTGGAGGCCTTGACAAAGGTACAACTTCAAGGCGCGAGTCAGGCAGGCCCCTCCTGGGGATCAGGTACATCCAGACTTGTTGCAAGGACCTGCTATAGAATGCGAGGGATGGTGCCATTTGAAATCTGGATGTAGTTTACAGCAAGTGAAGACAGGCAGCAGTTGTGTTTCCTGCCAACCACTGCAAAGGAACAAAATCATAGAAGTGTTTCTAAACAACAGGGAAGGAAGCAGCTAATCTGTCCAGACAAAAAAGGATGAAAAGGGAACACACAGCAGCTATTCCAGACTTTGTTCTGAGATTTGGGGCATGGGGAGAAATTATTTTAAAACAACCTTACTCCAGTGAAGAGGCATGAGGCATCAGACTAAGTTCCAAATTTCTATGTGCTGCTGAGTATTATCATATATCAGATCAGATGGCTCCTAATTTTCTCT